CAAACTTATCAATCTAAAGTATGAAAATAAAAAATACTTAAAAATGATCTTTTGCAGAGAAACAGTGACAGCCCTGGTATACTTCTTTGTTTCAATTTCTTGGGTGTTAGCAGCATCCTTCTAACATAAAGAATTCTGCTCTCTCCTGGATCCAGACAGAAACTTGTGAAATGATAACGGATCTGTGAAGTCTATTTTTGTCAGATCAATTTTCACGGAACTTGAGCTGTGGAGTCCACTTGAGATGTAAAAAGAGCCTCCCAGATTTGGCACCATCAAGGGTAAAACTGTCCTGCAATTCCCCTTCTAATATCACCCTAGTTAGAGTCATTATAACTCTCCCAATTCTATCCTGAAAGATCACGAAAATGAGATGAGCAATGCACGTACACGAATCTGTCCACGCTGCAGCTTAGATGATCAAATGTATTATATCATTTTATATAAGATGATAAAAGATCAAATCACGAGTCATTGGATTGTCACAAAAAATCACGAGATTTGATTTGTAATAAAAACAAAAAATATATGATGAAACTATACTTTTCCATAGAAAACTATACAAAGAAAAAATTCTTGCATAACTGACAACAAACCTTCTGGAACTACAGCAAAAGAAAAAACCCAAAAAATTACCTTCCCGAAAGTATCATGGTCCCAAAGTTCCAAAATCAACAGTTCATGCAAACCATCCTCCACGACAAAATCAAATGTTTGATTCCAAACTGGATTCAGGCTGTCATTTACTACCTGAGAAAGAAGAAAAGAATATTTGAGATATGATTTAATGAACTTTGTTTAGACTTTTGTTTGCTGGAAATCTAACAATCTCACCCTAGTCTTGACTTTTGTTTCGGCTTTTTTCATAATAAGAACTACATATGGGTCTGCCTTTCCCATCAAATCTACTGCTGGCAGGTCTTCTGCTGCTACTACTGTGACAGATAATACTCCTCTAACAATAACCTCACTTTTCCTTGAAGATGGTGCCCTTATAAAATTTGAAGCATCTGTTTCATCATTTCCTGGCTTAAGGACTTTCTCCAATGAGGTCAAAGAGAAATCTGGGTTAAAAGGATTTTTAATGCTGCTTTCTGTGCCGAAAGGACAGTAGAGGAGCTCCAGGTGCACCTTATGCCAAAGAAAGTATTCAGGTCATTGGTAAATTACAAGTTATGAAAATATAGCTCTTAGTCCAATTAAATATGTGTTACGTGTAAATTATATAACTCTGAAATGATATAATAATAACATAATAACGGGAAGAAAAAACACAAAAAATTAGGATTATAGTTGTAAGAAAAAACAACAGTAAGAGTGTAACAAAAACTGACAGTGCGCACAAAAACATATTTAAAAATGATATTTTAGTTTATGAGAATATACTAAACTATTATTTGTGAAAAATAATGAAGTTAGTTGTAATTATAGCAGCATGGTACCTCCAAGGCGCCATACTTACACTATCAATCCTATCTTCTTACCTGACCCCTGTTTTTGGTATCCCTTTGGACCTCCAAATCTTTCACTAGCTTCAACCAGACATCCTTCACTTTACCAGGGATGAGTTCCTTCAGTGGCACTTGAGCGCAGCCAATAAGTTCCGAAGCCTGAACCCCTTCATCATCGGAGATTCTTATTGTCAGGTGCTGAGTTGATGCGTCTTCAACAATGAACTCAAAGTGCTCGTTCCAAATTGGATTCAGTTCGTTGTTCTGAAGATAAATGAAGTTACTTCCAATAGAAGAAAATGGTAAAAGAATTATGTAGAAAGGAAATTTTTGAATTCTCTTACGATAGTTCTGCTCCTTTTTATTTTATCCCTAAGAGGTCTTATGAATAACTCAGCATAAGGATCGGATTTCCCGATAACATCTTTATTTGTTAAGTCCTTGGCTTGCACAAGCTTCACATCTAGTGTTCCAACAGGTTTGAGCTCAAGGTCACTGAAAAATGAAGCAATCTTTATGTGCGCAGAAAGTTTGCAGGAATAACGAAAAGACAAAAGTACTCTAGTGACAGATTTTGTTGAGTATATACAGATGTGCGATTAATGGCAAACTCATTGTATATATATATAGAAAAAAGGAAGCTAGAAAAATATAAGCATACCTGTAATCCCCTGGTATTATTGGTATAATCTTCCTAACAGGCCAAGTTATGGAATCTTCAATTGCATCTCTTATAGTTTCCTGATATTTTCATTTTGAAAATGTTAGATCAGTCACATCCATAACAAGAAAATGTTAGATCAATGGTCCTGCTATGTGATCATCAAGATCTCTAAGCCAAGAAGTAATTTCCTTAATCATGTTAACTCTACGTGTAGTTGTAACATCCATTTTGGCGAAATCCACATTCAGTCTATTGGAAGAAAGGATCATAATACAGAGTTTTCTCATACCTGGATTGCATCAGAAATCCCCGGGATTGTCTTTATATCACCACCAATAATTTTGAGTGTAAAATCGAGCTTTTTCTGCAGAATTTCAGGTACATCAGCAATTTGTTTAATTTCAACAATGTTTTATCATGCGATTAATAGATCTTAAATTATAACTAACCTTTTGTCTCAAGGAATAAGAAACAGCTCCAAAACAAGGGAACTCGTCAACTAGTGGTTTAAAGATTAACCTAAACATCCCTGTGAATCCAATATTTTTTACCTAGATGAACAAGTTAGAACCAAAAGGGATGATAAGGAATATCTTTGATGTAACTTAGAAGAACTTTTGTAGAGTTCAGGAAATCAAAGAGAGAAACAAACTTGGCAAACATCTTTGACTTACACAACCAAATTGTTTACATAAAGGAAGAGAAAAAGGAAAACAAAGGTTTTCAGATTGTTCTTGGAAGTCGGTTGTCTAGTCCTCAGCATTTTAGACATACCTGTACAGGTAGTGCCATGCCTAGTTTGGTCTTAATGCCAAGTACAATATTTGGGTTGCCATCCCATTGCATTTCCAATTCCATGGTGATTCCATCAGCCTGACTTTCCCCTTCAATTATGGAAACTCCTAAACGCGTAAGAGTGATGAATTTCATGAGTCACGACCAAATTCTATCAAAATAATGAAATTTTCTACTTAATACAATAGCTTCAGATCAACAATGACCAAAGAGCTTGAGAACTTTAGATGTCAAGGACTATGACTCATTTCCATTCAATTTCTAATCAACTTCTATTTATGATTTTCGTATTGGTCTTAATACATATAGTTAGAATACAGTTTCGCGGTCTTGAGTTATTAACACAACCATCTTGAATTTTTAATGGTAATCCACCCTTGAGGAATTGGTTCCCACCATAATTCAAGTTGGAGATGTGGAAATTCAGAAATAATGAATTATAATCTGATAAGTCATAGTAAGACTAGAACGAAATTATAATTAGAAATTTTAATAAATTAAGAAAAAAAATTATACTAAATATTTACACCATGTTCGAAATAAATGAATTCTATTAAAAAAAGAACTATAGAATTCCATTATAAATCCACATTTTTATATTTAAACCATAAATAATGACTAATCATTCACACAATAAAAAGAAAAAAGAAGAAAAAAGGAATATCTTTAACTTGTGATCAGTCATCTTAACCTGTAAACTGTGGAGCCACAGTGCCAAGAGTCAATTTAGAAAACTTGAGAGATGCTAAGATAGCTGGTCTATATTGTTCAAGAACTGGCTCCACATTACTTCTTATCAGCTCCGATGCTGCCTATGCCATAAATAAACCAATCACTCTGTAAAACATCACTTCCTCAAATCCGGTAAAAAAGAAAAAAAAACGATGAACACTAGTTTTTACCTCGTCAACAAACGGCCAAATCTTGTCAAGTTGGACATTCAGCCAAGTTAACTGCAATTAATTAAGAAACCAGTTTCAACACCACCCAGATGATCAAGATCAACACAATATACATACATAAATCCATGTATATTTTGAGAGAGAGGGATCACTTAACTTCTGTTGCTGTGAAAAGACAACCCAGGATGGATAACTCTCTCGCGGCAGAATCTTTCTTGAATCTTGCACTGTCATCCTCGCAAATGACGCCACTGTTTTGGCCTAAAGATCGCGTTAACAGATCCCAGAAAACCCAAAAAAAGAAACAGTAAATCATCTAACAGCAACATCATAAACAAAATCCGATCATTACTTGATCATTTCCAAGGTTAATCCCATAAACAAACTCAACATTCAATGCACGTACTTGCGGAAACTCCATGCAGGCGTATATACAAAAAGGTGGTGTGCGTTTCTGTGCGTATCTATAAGACTATACGTAAATGAAATCTCTGTGATAGTAAAACACAGAATTCTATAAAGATGAATCAGAGAAGGAGCGTACCAAATCGGAGCGGCGAGTTGATCGGATGTTCTCGTATCGAGCGAAGGCAATAATCAAGCCAATGCCGACGCCGAGTCCCAAGAATATTCCGAAGAAGAACGACATTGCTGTGCTGGTTTTAGCGGGTACCCCGTTGATAATCAAGCGAAATCAGAAACCATATATCTCTGCTTCAAGCTTTCAACAACGACATTTCTCTTTAATTCAGAAAAGAAAAAACAGTGGCTGTTTCTCTGGGTAGAATAAGAATCAGCGTGCTCCAACAGAGAGAGAGGATACGAATTAATAGTAACAGAACTACAGAAATCTATCAGGAAGTTAGTTGATGAAGAAGACAAGCGTTCGTAATTATCAAGATCTGCAAATTAGTGTTTTTTATAATTTAATTATAACATTTTAAACTAAAAATTCGGTCATATTATTAAACAAAAATTCATTATCATTATTTTCAACAATGCAAAATTTTCCAAGAAAAAGTATAATCAACTTCTATATATACTTTTAACTTACCATATATCTGTAGTTAATTTAAACAATTCTCTGTATTTACCCAATAAACTAATCTGATTAACAAATCAAAATTTCTTGATATTATTTTCTAGCATTATATATAATCTCGAAAGGTAATTGTCAAACCACAAAAAAAAAAAAAAGGAAAATCATTTAGAAAAAGATTGGGTATGGCATCAAGATCTAATTTTTCGCTTGCTTGTATGCTAATCATTCTTTACTTTAGGTGGCCCAACTGTAATACCAGTCAGCCCGTCAACTTACACGTTTGAATTAAAAAAAAAAAATTATTTAAAATTTTATCAAATTTAATAGAATTTATAATACATAATTTAAATTCTACGTGATGAGATTTTGTGATATTAATTTTACATTTTTTAACATTATTTATGCTCTAGCTTAAAACTAAAAAAATTTGAGGATACAAAATTCTGAAATTCATTTACGTCTTTTAACATTTTAAGATGAAATTCATTTTCATTTTCAAAATTTTGAAATTATGAGTGTTTAATTGGGGTGCTCAAATAGGAAAATAAACATGGTTTTCATAATTACTTATTTTGTCATTTTCTGTTTATGAATGATAATTTGTGTTTATGGCAATATTAATTCAATATGATTGCTTGTATGTATTATTGGATATTGCGTATTACCCCAAATTACTTCCATTTTAGACTCGTACTAATAATTCTATAGATTTGAAGAAGAAGAGTTTAAAAGAAGATCCAATCCACATTTTAAGTTTTCTAGTTGTGCAAAGACAAGAATATATATATATACACATACACATATGTACATGGATGCACTCTTTTCTCCATGCTTCAGTGATCTTAATTACTTTAAAAAATATGCATGTAAGTCATCGAGTATTGATAGATATATACACACATATAGATATACACATATATATTACTTGATCATTTCAAGATTTCACCATGTAATATTACTAATTAAATTTGTATCATTTATTTATTCTATTTATTTTCTATATATATTTATTATATCTATTTTTTTATTTTGTGTGCTTTTTATGAATAAAAATTTATTATTTAAATTAAATATTTATTTTTTTATTGAGCGAATGATACCAAATAAATTAAATCAAATTAATTTTTCGATCAAAACCTCAATTTTAAAAAAAATCATATTTTCTATCAAGACATTCACTGAAAAAAACATAAACCATTTTAAAAGAAGTTGATAGTCAAGTGAAATCTATGGACAACATCGTTGTGGTAAAAGTCGTTTATTACCGCAAGGCATAGAGGAGAGATCATAAGCTGTAAAATTGATTGTAATTTAATGATTTAATTCAATTAACTTCTTTCTAGTAACTATTTTAAATAAATTTTATAGTGCCTATTTATAAAGAGAGTAAAAAATATATTTTTTCTAATTGGGAATTTTCAATAGTGATGATACTTATTAAAATTGAAAAAAAATAATTACTCAATGTATTTAACATATACTTAAATGTTAACTATATTAATTGATAATTAATAAGAACAAATATTAATTTGAGTAGTTTGTGAGGAAATTGAAACACCAATTTTTACAAATGTGACAATATATTTTAATTTCTCTTATAAAATTTTGATTAAAAAAATTAAAATAAAATAATTACATATATATTAATTAATTTATATTTTTAAAATATGTAACACTTATTTTTAAAATAAGTAAGATATTTAGTAAATATTTAAGTAATTTTAATGAATAAAAAAATAAGCGCATAAGCCTCAAAACCTTACTAAACAAGAGGGGGGAAAACCATTTCTATTTTCTTCAACATAATTAAGTCCAGACCCAACAATTGATTTTCTTCAACGTAAACCCAAAAGGGGCCCAACCCGCAACATGTTTTCTTCCATCCAAACGACGCCGTTCTGCACTTCGTTCTGGGTTCTCCTTTCTGCTCCACTCAACGACAGAGAAGAGGCGGAGCTGCAACAATCGTAGCGAAAGCAGACGACGACAAATCTACACTGAGACCCGGACTTCATCACACAGTAAGACTCTCTCATTTTCCATCCCGTTCCGCGTCTGATCACGTTACTTTCGTTTTCTCGGTTTCAATTTTGTGTTATATTCATGTTGATTTCGAATGAAGTAGGGCCTCAAAGAGTATTTTTCTGAATGGATTTATGGTTAAAAAATATAAGCGCGCCAAGTGTTTGTTGGAATGCCACTACGAGTTTCTTAGCTCCTATCTCTCTATCGTGCTGTTATTTCAGTTTTTTATGATGGCTATTAGAGTTTTATAATGGCATTTCTATAAAATGCATGTTAATCTCAATTCCATTTTTTAGAATTCATTTTAATTGTTCTTGTAATTTATTACTATCATCTTGACCAGTTGTCTATAATAGTAATTGCATTCTCTCAAAATCCTCATTACAAAAAGTCATATACCTTGAAATACTTTTTACACTTCAAAGTTTATACATGGCGCAATATATACTCCGATGATTGATATGGATGTCACATGCACCCACATGCTCCCTTGAATTTCACTCTTAAGCTGTCCTAATTATGATTTGCATGAGAGCCAAACGTCTTCCCTCCATATAACAGTTTTACTTACTTGTATATGTATTTTTCTAAGGCGTTCTAAACCCACCATAATCAAGGTTAGTGGCGACTCCTAATCTTATTATTTTGTAGATAAAAGTGTGGTTGCTATAGGAGCCATTATCCTTTCAAAATGAGTTTTGGTGCCTTGAGAAACATCATCCGACCTCTCTCAAGAACCCTTGTTTCTCTAACTTCCTCCGCCGGCCCAACAGCACCACGGTCATTTTTGGTTCCACCTCCAGCTTCAAGACCCGATTTACAATCCCTCTTTGGCGTGTTGGCTTACAGACAGTCTCTATGGATCCCCATTTCAAGCCATTTTCATAGCTTAACTGACACCCGATATCCGAAGAGGAGACCTGTTGATAAACCCCGTCGAAAAAGGGCCAGCTTGAGACCTCCAGGTTCTTTTTCTTTCATGTTAATCAGAATTTATTTATTGTTTCCCATTGTTATGATTCAATTTTTGTATGCTGACATTGAAGTGTAAAATCTTGGCCAGTAGGGTTTATGTAGATTTGTTACATTTGAAACTATAACTAGGTATTTGTAGTTATGGAAGCTAGTGGAACCTTTAAAAGAAACAAGGGATTTGTTAGCTGAATTAGCATTGAAATATGTTCTATGTCTAATCATGTTAGTGTATTATACTCCTCGATATATAAATGATTGTAAGATTTTATCATGAGATGAATTAGTTCAAATATGGATAAAATATATAAATTATAATGGAAAATTATATGCATAAAATTAGAGGAGAATACATGTAAACTAAATGAATCAAAATTCTTGCCAAGATGATGCTAAATAGCATGCTGTTCTTTCAATGGAGACTAAAGAACTCCAAGTAGTAGTAAATAGTGACTGGATATCTTCCCCAAAATGGTCTAAGATCCCTCTCACAATTTGACCTTCATTGGCTATATTCATTTGTATGTCTCCTTTATTTTTATTTTTCAAAACATATTTGTTTCTTTTTATTTTTCCTGAGAATAAAATGAAGGGACTACACTATTCTGTTTGATTTCAGTATTTTATGGATAGAAATTTAAAAAATACCTTGTAAGGAAAAAAGTGTTTGGGAAATTCAAATGTATTCTATTTTATTTATTTTGCCTAGAAATTCTCTTAACCAACTGCATACAAGTTCCAGCTGTTGTTATTCCTGTAGAAGTGGACAAGGAAGACAACACCACTGACTGTGAGAAAAATAAAAAATCAGAAGAAAACCTCTGCCAGCAGGCTTATGGAAATGTGTTACTTTTGACATCAAAACTAAGGATTTGTAGTTATTAAAATTCTGTCAGGTCTCTTTCATGAATTGATTTTGAACTATAAACTTAAAGGATGGTTTTTGTTATTTGAGAACTGTAGGGCCATATGCTTGGGTCCAGTACGTGCCAGGGCAGCCGATTTCTCCCAACAATCCCAATGAAGGAAGTGTCAAGAGAAGGAATGAGAAGAAACGCATGAGGCTGCGGCGCGAGTTTATACTGGTTTGTGTCTTATCGAGCATTTGCAATGTTATTCGTTGTTTATTTAATTCAATATTAACCTACTCTAATGCATCATGGACTTGCACAATTTGTCATGGAAATGGGAACTGAAAGCACTGTATGAGTTTATGAACCTTACAGTTGGTTTACTTCTAGCTTAATTTGGAGCTAACTAGTGAAGGGTTGCTTATATTCAATTCTATTATTGGGTTTACTCAGTCTAGGTTAAGATAAATAAGAAGGAGTGAGAACTTATCAGGAGAGCTGCTAGGACAAAACCTTGTTATGCTAGCTTTATATTGGTTGCAAACTGAAGATTGCTATTGGGAGTTGGTTCAATCTTTAAAATGCCTCTTAGTTGGCAAGATTTTCATGGTGGAGTCTTGTGTTGAAGGCCTAAGAGTTTTCTTTCTAATTGTTGATAGACTTAGTGTCAATGGTGTGGGTATTGTCAACTAACAATTGTCACATGGTAAGGTTTTTCCAACATTTCTCAGGATTCTCTTGCCCCCTTCTCATATTGTGTTTCTGTGGTTCTGGTTTGTATATCTTTTTGTTTGTCCTTGGACTCTTTCCCTGAATGCTTTTTAGTCAATATAATGATGCAAAATGAGCCCACAGATTAAAGTATTTCTCTCAAACGGAGAGAACAGAGAGAATTTTACTTGGTTCAGCAATGTGTCTAGATCTACAAGTCACCTGCATTTTTGTCACTATGGAGAACTTAATTTACATCTAGAGATTTCCTTCCTACACTGAACTAAGGTGAAAACTCAAAATTTTCACTAAAAAAAGGTGAAAACTCAAAATTATAAAAATATCCCCATAATGAAAACTGTGTTGGGGAAACATAATGATATATTACTGCAGGGGTCCAACTTGCCACTTAAAGGGACCAGATGAATAATGAATAACCCTTTTTTTTTTTCCAAACAAGTGCTTATTAAGTAGATCAAATTCTAAGCTCATTATAGCTTCTAAGACAAACTTACAGGCCATAGTATCTTTATTTACAATGACAGGTACAAGATATGGCTTTTTTAAAATCTCAGTATGGTCGTATTCCCTTTTTATCGTCATATAACCTTTTTTTCATCATCATTGATCTTATCTAATCAGGAAATGCTATTAATCAGTGAGTGTCTTTTAAAATTTTATATAAAGTGAGCTTTATCTAAAAAGCAAGAGGTTATTTATATTTCTTGAATCTTGTGTTGCTTTATTTCTTGTGTAAGAAAATGCTTTCATGACAGAGCTCTTGATCCATTTCACAATTGATGTTTTAATTGAGGAAACTGAGCAAATATCACTATAATTTTTGTTTGCCTTTATTTGTTCAGAAAATTTCAGTCAATTGAGATTCTTTGGAACTATTTGAAGTCTAATAGAGGTCTTAGTTTTACAACATGTTTTGACAGGTAAAGCAAAAATGTTTACTGCATTGTTTAGTAAAGATGCCTATTCAAAATGTTTTCAAGAAACATGTAGTGTAAGGAAACCCTTCCAACACAGAAGTTGATTTTTGTAGATTCTGAAGGCACACAACTTGTAGATTCAAGAAGGGAACAGTTGGTGTAACTTTAGGATTATTTCCTAAAATGTGGTGAAATTTTGTCTCATCTCTATTGTGGTCTTTTCTATTGGCATTCAATTCATATTGTGCTTTTCTCTTTTCCACTGCGAACAAGTCAACTTCTCTTAAGACCTTTAATGAGATCTCTATTACTTATCATAATTTTGGACTTATCCCTGGGTGTGCTTCATTGTGTCCAGTGGCAGTGAACTGATATTAAGGTAAGAATTCGGTGTAAAACGTAAAACAAACTTATCTTATTCTCTATTATTTGTCAATATTTCTTTAAATTCTATGGTTCTCCTTGGTTTTGCATTTTATGGACTAGTTGACAAATCACTATTATGGGAGACCTTTGTTTTGCTGTGGGTCCTTGGATCAGATGTAGAGCGAGGGTTTGTTTTGTGGAGAATACCCTCTATAGCCCCCAATCTTTACATTCATATATATATATATATACACACACACACATATAGTTCTGGATAAGTTGCGTCATATCCTGACTGAAAAAATTATTTTCTTTGGTTGCCTGTGTTTTGACTGGATCCATTTTGATCCTGTCCAGGCGGAGGCAAAGAAGCGGAAAGCTCAGTTGCAGGAGGCTAAAAGGAAAAAGAGAATTAAGAGTGTGGAGCGTAAGATGGCTGCAGTGGCAAGGGAAAGAGCATGGCAAGAAAGACTGGCAGAGTTGCAGCGAC